TACACTTACACACAAGTTATTGTCATGAAACTAGAAAAATGCTTGTTTTTTGCCCCCTTTTGGCCCCTTATTCCTAAAATTTTGAGGCAATTAACCCCAAAATCAATCCCAGCATTGACCCTTTGTGATATGGAATCTTGTGGTACAATGTCAAAGAGATCCATATGCTAACACACAAGTTATGTCTGGAAGTTACAAAAATGCTTATTTTCGGCCCCTTTTTGGCCCCTAATTCCTTAACTGTTGGTACCATAACCCCCAAAATCAATCCCCACCTTCCTATTGTGGTATTGAACCTTATGGTAAAATTTCATAGAGATCCATTCACTTAAACTAAAGTTAGAGTGCGAAAACCATTGTGTATTCGGACGACGACGCCGGACGACGACGACGACGACGCCAACGTCATACCAATATACGACCTCAAAATTTTTTTGCGGTCGTATAAAAATCTAAATACATGTTTAGATTCAGCATATGAAAGAACCCTAAGAATTCAATTTTTGTTAAAATCAAACTTAGTTTAATTTTGGACCCTTTGGACCTTAATGTAGACCAATTTGAAAACGGAACCAAAAATTAAGAATCTAAATACACGGTTAGATTCGGCATATCAAAGTACCCCAATAATTCAATTTTTGATGAAATCAAACAAAGTTTAATTTTGGACCCTTTGGACCTCAATGTGGACCAATTAAAAAACGGGGCCCAAAATCCAAAAACTTAATACACGGTTAGATTCAGCGCATTAAAGAACCCCAAGAATTCAAGAATAAAACCCCATTGAAATTGGTCAAGAAATAAGCAATTTATACGAAGTATCTTCTTTTGCACAATACTGTGCAATTGAATATTTCTTGCTATTGCACAATACTGTACAATTGACAATTTCTTGCTATTGCGCAATATTGTGCTATTGGATATTTCTTGCTATTGCGCAATACTGTGCAATTGAAGATTTCTTGCTATTGTGCAATACTGTGCATTGGAAGATTTCTTGCTATTGTGCAATACTGTGCAATTGAAAATTTCTTGCTATTGCACAATACTTATTATATAATAATTTACACATCCTGTTTGGTGTGTATCTCCTACCATATCATTATTATTTGCTTTTAAATATAAATCAGAAATAACCAACTTAAAATGGAAAATTTTAAAAGAAAAAAAAAATGAAAAAAAGAAAAAAAATGAAAAAAAAAAATCCCCCCCCCCCCAAATTTTTTGAAACCCCTTATGATTCATCACCCCCAAACTCTATCCCAGCCTTCCCTTTGTGGTATGGAACCTTGCAGTACAATTTCAGAGAGATCCATACACTTACACACAAGTTATTGTCCTGAAACTAGAGAAATGCTTGTTTTTTTCCCCTTTTTGGCCCCTAATTCCTAAAATTTTGAGGCAATTACCCCTAATATCAATCCCAGCCTTCCCTTTTTGGTATGGTACCTTGCAGTACAATTTCAGAGAGATCCATACACTTGAACACAAGTAATTGTCTGGAAACTAGAAAAATGCTATTTTTGGCCCCTTTTTGGCCCCTTATTCCTAAACGTTTTGGGCAATTACCCCCAAACTCAATTCCAGCTTTCCCTTTGTGATATGGAACCTTGTAGTTCAATTTCAGAAAGATCCATACACTTACAGACAAGTTATTATCATGAAACTAGAAAAATGCTTGTTTTTTGCCCCTTTTTTGGCCCCTAATTCCTAAAATTTTGAGGCAATTACCCCCAAAATCAATCCCAGCATTCCCTTTGTGATATGGAACCTTGTGGTACAATGTCAGAGAGATCCATACACTAACACACAAGTTATGTCTGGAAGTTACAAAAATGCTTATTTTTGGCCCCTAATTCCTTAACTGTTGGTACCATAACCCCCAAAACCAATCCCAACCTTCCTTTTGTGGTATTGAACCTTATGGTAAAATTTCACGGAGATCCATTCACTTAAACTAAAGTTAGAGTGCGAAAACCAATGTGTCTTCGGACGACGCCAGACGACGCCGACGACGACGCCAACGTCATACCAATATACGACCAAAATTTTTTTAATTTTTGCGGTCGTATAAAAACAGGACCCAAAATTAAAAATCTAAATACACGGTTAGATTTGGCATATCAAAGAACCCCAATAATTCAATTTTTGATGAAATCAAACAAAGTTTAATTTTGGACCCTTTTGACCTCAATATGAACCAATTTGACAACGGGGTCCACAAATAAAAAATCTAAATACATGGTTAGATTCAGCATATCAAAGAACCCCATATATTCAATTTTTGTTGAAATCAAACAAAGTTTAATTTTGGACCCCAATTTGGACCAACTTGAAAACTGGGCCAAAAATCAAAAATCTAAATACCTGTTTAGATTCAGCATATCTAAGAACCCCGTATATTCATTTTTTGTCAAAATCAAACTAAAGTTTAATTTTGGACCCTTTGGACCTTAATGTAGACCAATTTGAAAACTGGACCCAAAATAAAAAATCTCAATACACGGTTAGATTCGGCATAACAAATAAATAAATGTGGTCAAAGAATTTACAAATCTAATGCGCCATACTGTGCAATTAAAGATTACTTCTTGAAATTTTTCAATATTTGAAATTTGAAAAAAAAATAATATTTGAAGAATAATTCTTTTTAATTTCTGAAATCTGAAATGAGAAAAAACTGACCCCCCACAATTTCTTTTCACCCCCCCCCCTTTTTTTCCCCCAAAATATTCTTTCCCTCAAGATATGGTCATGATCTCAATTCAAATTTCCAATGGAGTTTACAACCATAACTACCCATTTAAATTTACCATAGTGCTAACTTAATCTATTTTATAATAGAATTTGAAATATAGTGTCAGATCTTTCATATGGATTTTTTGGTAAAAAAAAAGATGCAACATTTGCAGATATTTTTACTGGTCTTCCTTTATAAATATGCATTTCTTTAAACATAATTTAAAAGCAGTGTAAGGGAAGTAACCAAAACGTTGTATTTGGATTACCTCCCTTACACTGTTTTAAATTATCTTAATTGTTCATTAACCATTACTTTATACATAATTTCATTGATGTATTTGATTTATCTCCCTTACACTGCTTTAAATTATTTTTTGTACTAAAGTATTTGTCCATTAACCAGGACAACCTTGTTTTTCCCCCTTTTTGACCCCTAATTCTTAAACGGTTTGAGCCATAACCCCCCAAAGCAAATCCTAACCATCCCTTTGTGGTATGGAAACTTGTAGTATAATTTCAGAGAGATCCATACACCATTCCACAGTTATTGTCTGGAAACTAGAAAATGCTTATTTTTGGCCCCTTTTTGGCCCCTAATTCCTTAACTGTTGGTACCATAACCCCCAAAATCAATCCCAACCTTCCTTTTGTGGTATTTAACCTTATGGTAAAATTTCAAAGAGATCCATTTACTTAAACTAAAGTTAAAGTGTGAAAACCAATGTGTCTTCGGACGACAACGACAACGACAACGACGCCAACGTCATACCAATATACGACTGCAAAATTTTTTTGCGGTCGTATAAAAATGCTTATTTTTGGCCCCTTATTCCTTAACTGTTGGTACCATAACCCCCAAAATCAATCCAAACCTTCCTTTTGTGGTATTGAACCTTATGGTAAAATTTCAATTCACTTAAACTTAAGTTAGAGTGCGAAAACCAATGTGTCTTCCGATGACGATGACGCCAACGTCATACCAATATACGACCGCAAAATGTTTTTGCGGTCGTATAAAAATTCACAGTTATTTCAATTCCTAAATAAATGGGGAATGTGTCCATAGGACACAGATGATGCCCCTGCTTGCAAATAATATTATAAAGGGACATTACTCAAGAACGGTAAAAGTGACGCTACCCAAATTCGTACTTGATCTGAGTTTTGTGGTAATAAGCGTTATGTATAAGTTTCAAAACATTTGGTTGAGGCAAACTTAAGGTAGAGAATGGAAACGAAAAATTCAGCCAATTTTTCCATTTGTAAAGGGGCATAACTCTAGAAAGGTAAAAATGATGCCACCCAAATTCTAACTTGATCTGAGTTTTGTGGTAATAAGCATTGTGTATAAGTTTCCTAACATTTGGTTGAGGCAAACTTAAGTTAGAGAACGGAAACGCTGAATTTTTCCATTTGTAAAGGGCATAACTCTAGAAAGGTAAAAGTGACGCCACCCAAATTCAAACCTGATCTGTGTTTTGTGGTAATAATCATTGTGTATAAGTAACATTTGGTTGAGGCAAACTAAAGTTAGAGAACAGAAACCAATTTGGGACATACAGATGTACGAACAGACAGACGGACAAGGGTAAAACTTAAATAGCCCTTCGCTACACCGGGGACATAAAAATATTTTGAAAGCAATGAATAAAATTCAGATTTTGAAACATTCAATAATGAGATCATCAAGTTTCCCTGATTATCTCCCCTTGATTACACATAAGTAAATGAATAAAGAGGGCATATATAATTGAAGGCATTACAATGGATTTTTCAAGGACTGACTGGAGCTGTGTGCATCTATACAACAATATTTGAGTTTATTTTTAATGAATACCGACCATGCAAGGGCTTACCACCCTGTCAAGGTCATTAAAAACCACCCTAGTAGTAGTTGAATAAATAAATAAGATTGGATCTTTTTATCACAATGAAAAATTACAAAGACAATATAAATATTTTGTGTCTTGATTGAGAAGTAAAGATGGTATATGATACAAGTCATGTTTTAGAAAACATGCATTAGGAAGAAAAAATACTTTGACAGCTGCCAAGATTTAACATCTTACAGCTACTTTAGACATTCTGGTAATACCTGATATTAACCATGAATTTGTTTGCAATAAGATTTTTTTTCATAACAAATTCAGTTTTTATTGTATACTAGTGAAAATTGGCAACACTGCACTACCCAGGAAAAAACTAAATTTGTTCATGATTCATGTGATTAACTCAAAAACAAATGGTATAAATCTTACTGTTCACTGGACAACTTGTCATCTGATATCTGTTCTGTATGTATTATCTCACTATCTTGTGGTGATACATCATTGCCTTGGGCTAAATCTTCAAAATGGGTTCTAAAAATGAAGGGAACAATTACAACAATGTAAAATTTAAGGCTCAATTAAGTGCGTTTATTTAATGCTGTTTATCAAAGAGTATCGCTATGCAGATATTCTAATTCAAATTTTATCTAATATTTTGCGACCGCCTTGGTGGTCTTGAGGTAGCCTCCAGTGCGGGAGGTCATGGATTAGAACCCTAGCCTGGTCAAACCAAAGACTTTAAAATGAGTATTTGCTGCTTCTCCGCTAAGCACGCACAATTAAGGAGTAAGAGCAAAGACTGGCTGGCTAGTGGTCAGAATAATGTGTCGGGGTAAGGTGACATGTCTTCTTGCAGACTTTTACCTTGTGAACTTGCTCGTTATAAATTCGGCTCGGTCTAGTACAAAACAGGGTTAATATTCATATTACATTAACATGTTCTCGTCCTGAATATGCATATTAATTTGCAGCTGGATGTTAAGCAGCCATCTATCTGATGATGATCATCATCTAATATTTTACCAATGTCTTGCAATTGGTGATTGGTGAAAAAGATTTTGGGTTTTCCTATGACTTGCAAAAAAAAGAAGCCTTAGATTTTTTTATGTACAAATAGTGTTATAAATTTGTAAACATATTTTAAAGTGAGGTGAGGAGAAGAAAATTTTTAAACTGTAATTTTCCAATTTTCATCAGTCTTAATTCGAAAAGGGGTTGAACTTTTGAAAACCATGCTTGACTTATGTGTATTAATACTTTTTAAATATGTATTTTGTTTTGGTAGGGTGTATAATATGCACATAAAGATTCATTTTGAAAAAAAAAAATATTTTGATTGTGAATTTCTATAGTGAATATGTTATTGTTTTGTACTCGCTACCTTTATACACAATAATGTTGTAAATCCATACCTTCCAATACATCCACAATACACCTGTCTAACAAGGACACAAGGATTCGTTTTTTAGCAAAATCATTTTGTGTGTCCTCTTAAAAATTACCTACTAATTTTGACATTATCTACTTATTTACCCCCTAAATCTGCTCATTTTTTTAAGTAATGATTTCTAATACCGGTAGTTCTAACCTAATAATATGGTAAATCTCAGTGCAATATGTATATCATCCAAAGTAAACCTGTCTTACTAGGACAAAATAAGTAATTTTTAGCACAATCACTTTGTGTCTTCTTTTTATTTACCCTCTCAATCTACTCATTTATTACTAATATATCTTACTTAATGGCTACATCATCTCCTCCTTCTACATGTTCCATAATCTCTATAATTACACTCTGGTCTGTTTCAGCATGTGTAAATACTTCTTGATTGTCTGGAATTTGTCTGAAGTCACTGTAAAATAAACAAAGGGAGATAATAACACTCTGGTCTGATTCAGTATGTGTAATTCCTGATTGTCTAGAATCTGTCTACGACAGGGGGGAATGAAATAAGTCATTGGAGATACATGTAAATGTTGTCTAGTATGTGTAAAAATCATTATATTATACAAGGGGGATAATAAAACTGGTTTGAATATTCACTGAAATATTCAGAGGGAAAACCATAAATCACAGCTCTCCAAAGGGAGATAATTATAATATACTGGATATATATGCAATTATAACAAATACTAGTTTGGTTCTTTGCCTTTATAATAATTTTAGGTCCTACCTATGATGCCATAATCCAATTGGAAGTAATTATGTTTTTTGTTGGAACTCTGAGACTAATGTGATGTGTTTGGGTCTTTCAAATATAATAAAAGAACAGTGGTCCAATGTCCCCTGCATTGCGTATATTTTTTCTATCCAAGGTACAAGGGCAATAACTTAAAAAAAGCACCTTTTTTTGGTTCTTTAAAACTTTTCATTAATATCTTAGAGAAATGAAGGCTCCAGAGCAATGTGATTTCCATTATAATTAATATTTCCAAGGGGCATAACTCTTTAAAAATATTTGATCAGCACTTATTTTCGAAAATGTCAAAGACATTGCTGATATAAACCTATGATTTAAGTTTCATAAAATTCTGGCAAGAATTGAACACATGAGAGCGCTAACAATGCAATTTTCCATAAAATTAATGTTTCCAAGGGCCATAAATCTTTTTAAAAATAATTGATCTGCACTGATTTTCGAACTCATCCAAGACATTGCTAACATAAACCTATGATATATGTTTCAAAAAAATATGACAAGAATTGTACATGTGAGAGCGCTAACAAGACCAGACAGACGGACGCCTGGTATTTCTATGTCCCCTATAACGTGTTGCGCGGGGGACAATAAGGACATGAAGTGGCATAAACAAGTGTGATAACCAACTTAATTTATTTCCATGGCTACTGAAAGACATCCAGGAAGAAAAAAGTTTTTGAATACTATACTGTAAACCAAAATATTTTTGGGATCTATTTTCAATATAACAGTTCAGAGTTCAAAGATTTTATTGTTATCAAATCAAAATTAACTGCATGTATGTCAATTTCTCAATTTCTAGAAAACAAAAGAAAATGATTTGGAATTAAAAACACTGAACATAAATGTTCCATCATTAATTGCCGGATATTAAAATACAATATATATATACATTGTTGGGGAATAACAAAATTTGTTCACATGCTACAAAGCGGGAGAAAAGCCATGCAAGCCTTTCTTTTTGTCTTGTTTCTAAACCTTGAATAAATAAATTTCATCTTTTCCAACAAAGTACATATATTGTATATGTACATGTACTTCAGTCTTATTTCAGAGATTCTTATTCTTATTACCTGACATCTTTAGCTCCATCAGGAAGAAATGCTGAAAAGGCACCACCAAACAACTCTTTTTCTGGCATCTAAATAAGTAAAAAAAAATACATACATTATTAAGCACAATCAATATTATAGTTTCCTTGAAATTTGAAAACTCCTTTACTGTAAATGCTGTTTTTTATGAGACTTTCAAAGGTCCTTTGAAATCTTCTTGCAGAGTTTGTATGAGCTATTGATACAAGAACTTAAGCCCCTTTTTGTGGTTATAATTTATAACAAAGTCTGTTTTGCAATCAGAATACACAAAAGAGTTGAGACAAATACATGTTCATATCAAATAGGTCAGGTTCACTGTCATAATAGTCAGATGGCATATGTAAGAAATATATAAACTACAAATGTATACCAAACTTCTGCAATAACATTTCTATGTGTTTTATGTATGTAATTTTTAAGTCCATGGAAAATGATGGTGTCAACAAATGTAAAATATAACTGCAGGGACCATTTATCATGTTTATAAGAAATATGTAACAGTATTTTCATTTGAAAGCAATATGAACAGTAGCTATATGGAATTTGATGTATACATGTAAATCCATCAATTCATAAAGAGAAGATTTCACTTTTGAATGAGTCTATAGTCTGTGACGTTACCATACATATGGTTTTAAGTACATCATAGATTAGTCCTCGTCAATACTTAGATACGATAAGATATCCCTCAACTGCTTCATTCAGTGAGGGTTATAGTTCTGGTCTATTATTCACAATTGTCTATTTTGATACAAGAGATGGGCAACTCAATTTGATGGCCATATGATATATTTGGAATACATTTTACATCTCTCTCATCATTTTTCAAGCTACATTTTCCTTCTCTTTTAATTTTTTCTCATTTTTAGAATTTTTCCAGATATGGTTTAAAAGGTTTGAAAAATGTATCTATAAAAATAAGATTTTATAAGCAATTAAGATTGATCAATTAAAGTAAAAAATTGACATAAAGATATCGAAAATTCAAAGTCGTAGAAAGAGGCCTAGTGGTGGTATTGGTTTCCTTGATACTACTTTTTTTGTTGTAATCAGTTCAAATTTAATGTTATAAATCATTCAAGGAAATCGAAATGATACCTGTATCTTGATCACAAGGGTATCCAGATACGAAATCCATGGAGCAATTATAATTAATGAAAAGTTTGTAATGGTGGGTAGGTAAAATCTGGATCCAATCCCTATGGAGCTTAATTCCTCTGTGGGATTAATCTGACCCAGATTTTACTTACCTACTGTTACAAAATTTTCATTAATTGCTCCCCAGGATTCAGATCTTTCCGAGGGTTTAGGACCATGATACACTTTCTGTTTAATAAGGTATGCATGCAATGGCACGTAATAGTCAAAGTTGTGACTGAGTGCAGAAATTCGAAGATAGATAGATAGTATTATTAAAATATCAACATGATCAATTATCATTTTTGAGAAAATAAGATTTAATTTGTACTTCAACATTTTCGATGAAATCATGAGGGCCATGTAATATCATGAGATTTTATCTAGTTGCCATTTTTATTTATTATTTGAATCCCTATTGGGATTCTGTGTCAGGAGAGATTTTTATTATTTAGCTGGCAGAACATTGACCCTGACACAGAATCCCAAAAAGGATTAGTATCAATTATTTGTTTCCGATCAACACCATTTGGCAAAAAATAGCTTTGCTAACCCCCAAAAGGCACTGAAAAAATCTATATATTGTAGTGTCAGAAATTTGTGGTGAAAACAGCCATTTCTATAAAATGGTTATGAACCTTAATTGTATTACTCCTTGAATATTGCACATCTTACCTCTTATATTTTCTGTTGCTGTTGTGGTGCTTCAACAGTATGTCTTTAAAATGACTTCGATTGCACAACTGTAATTTCAGGCATTACAGGCATTAGCTAGATTGAACAAGATTTATCTAGATTCAACATAGCAAATCAGTAATTTTAAAACAGTTAAAAAAATACGTAATATTTATAAATAGACATAAAAATGTGATATGTTTAATTTTTTTTTTCAATACCTTTTCGGTGATCTCATCAGAGCTTATGTTCAAATGTTTGTCAATATGCCGAATCAAAATGTTTTTTTTTAAACTTTAAAATACCTTCTAAATGCTTTCTGAGTGAAATATTTATTACAAAAACGATAAGTTTGGAAAGAAAACTAGTAGGGGAGAGAAATCAGGAAACATGTGTTATAATAACAGGGGAAACAGTAACGGAATCGATACGTTTAAAATACGGGCTTTAGAAAAAAATTAAAACAAAACTGACTTTGTAGCATATCACCTGCCTCTCCTTCCTGTTCATCTAGTATAGTAGTTCTAAACAGTTACATGTAAATGTTCACAACAGAATATTTCCAAATATTTATAATGCTTTAATACGAAACACACACATCCGGACTACTACAAGATAATATACTTTATTGTGCCAATCACGGCGCCCATTACTGAGCAGAATAAGCATCGTTATTACAAAACAATATACAATGCAATATCTTGAACTAAATAAAATAACAAAATAATTGGTTATTAATGATTAGTTTGATTGTTATAAAATAAGGTTTAATACAAACTGAATGTAGAAAAAAAAATATATTAATGTGATGATAAAATTGACAACATATTCACGGTAAGGAACACACTGCAACTTAGACCAAATCAGTCATGAATCCATGTGTTATGATTATCATTGTCATTTTAAAATATTATCTATAAGTTCTTGTTTTTGTTTTGAATAGTAATGTAAGCAGCTGCTCAGCGGAAGGATCCCAATGGCATACATATTCTCATTCATCATTAACAAGATGGATTTGTTTTCATAATTCAAAGCATCAAAATTTTTATATTTATATTTATATTTTATTTTATTTAAGTAATGGTAAGCGGCTTCCCATCATAAGATGGACATTTCAAAAGGAAGTGTAATTCATCCTCTATCATGAGCATTGTGGAATAACTTACAAATACCGGCCTTTTGTTTGCCTCTACTCCATTGTATCCACCGGCTGTTTCTATTCCTAATGAACATGGCCAGTCACGTATACGAAATTTAGACAATAATCGTTTTTATTCTCTATATCCAATCATCAGATAACTTGTACATGTATCAAGAATATTAGAAGAGCCGTTCTATATATTATGTCACAGGTCAAGTTAATATAAGCTATATGATATGACAACTAATGATTTGAATCAAATTATTTTCTTTTCTTAGGTCGTGAATATTTAGATTTAGATTCCCTTCGACCTTTATCAGTTATTCATTATAACTGAGACTACTATAACACTTTTACTTTTGTTCTGTTCTGCTACGATATGCATACCAGTAGAATGAGACAGATGACAGGGTAGGGGTGATGGCGTTTATATTAAGTAGGCCAGAACAGAGACATATAATACAAGTATTATATGTCTCTGGCCAGAATAACTAAATAATGAATTTGCAGAACGAGGTGACCGGATATTTCAATAATAACCGTATTCAGCATCCGTATTAATTTACGTTTAAGTTACTAAAGTTCGTCACCCCACTAATAAAAATAAAGAGATGTAGTATTGTTGCAACTGAGACTATCCACTAGATTTCAAAGGTCAATGAAGGTAATTGTTCGGCCTTCAACAATGAGTAAAACCAAGACTGTATAGTAAGTTGTCAAAGGCCCAGAAATGCAGGACCGGACATACATATATATGCTAAAACAATAAACGAAAAACAAATATGACAGACAGCTACGATCGACAACAACTGATTTAAAAGCTCCTGATTAGGGACAAACACATGCAAAATGCGGCAGGGTCAAACATGTTTGCACAATTGTCCGATTTGTAAATATTTACACATGTGAAGCAGGATCTGTTGACCCTTCCGGAGCACATAGGATCAAGCATGATTTTTTTTTTTGGTAGAATTCGCGATGCTCAGTCTTAAGTTTACTATGTAGTGTTTTGTGAACTTGTTTGTTTTTTCGTTGTTTTTCGTTTATTGCCATGGTATTGTAAGTTTCTCTTCGACTTATGAGTTTTGAAGTGTCTTCTGCCTCTTGTTTTACCTTTGTAAGGTATACTCGCGAACCAAATAGCAACTTTGGCATTTTATAGTCTCTTTGTCTAACATACAGTTCTAACCGGTCCCGTTAATATGCCTTTGTGGTGCTCGCTATCCCAGTGCACGGTTGCTGTTTGTTGTCTCGCATCTTTGTAATGCAAATTGCCTTTGGTTTCAGTAGAACTCGCTAAGTCTTATGAACCCCGGTAAAATATATATAATCTGTAACTTACTGAAAATTTAAAAATAAGAAGATGTAGTATGATTTCCAATGAACAACTCTCCATCAGAGACCAAAACGAAGTAGAAGGTTAGCAACAAAGGTCACTGTACGGTCTTCAACAATGAGCAAAACGCTTACCGTATAAAAGGATCGAAATCGGACAAATATGTGAAATGTCTAATCTGTAACTTACTGGTAATATAAAAAGATGTAGTATGATTGCCAATAACACAACTCTCCATCAGAGACCAAAATGAAGTAGAAGGTTGGGAAATAAAGGTCACTGTACGGTATTCAACAATGAGCAAAACGCTTACTGTATAAAAGGCATCGAAATGACAAATATGTAAAACAATTCAAACGAGAAAACTAACGGCCTGATTTATGTACAAAAAATAAACGAAAAACAAATATGATATAAGCAACAAACGACAAACACTGAATTACAGGCTCCTGACTTGAGACGGGCACCTACTGAATGTGGAGAGGTTAAACATATTAGCATACGCCCAAACTCTAGATTATCTTGTTCCGTTTTTTTTTTTTTTTTTTTTTTTTTTTTTTTTTTTTTTATCCAGATGTGCTCATTGCATTCCATGCACTATATACAGCGCGTGAACATGAATTATTACGACATTTATGTTCTTACAATACAATATCCGAAACTAAGACACATTTAGCTTATCTTTAACTCAAACTAGTATAAACTATTGGCATCACTTTGCATTCACATTTTAGTAAACATGTTTTTTCCCTCTTATATGGGATAAACGTGAAATAACATAAATCATGACAGACGGAGATGGGAATCTGACATATTAATTTTATATGCCTTATGGTCTAAAACAAAGTTTCATGTTATTCAGATCGATGGTATTGTCATTTCTGCTTATATTCTCCAATCTTGTTGTTTGTAACCTGAAAAGGAAAGAATTTCGCGATCTTCCTAACTTAAACGAGCGTAAATTGTATCCATCATTGAACGTCATGTCCCAAATATTTGTAAGATTTTCAAGTGTAGGTATCTTGATTAAACTTTACATTGAAGTCAGATGCGGATTCATGATTTTGAAAAAGGGGTGGGGGGGGGGGGGGTGGCAAACTAAGCAACGTTTGGAGTGGAACAAGTAAAAATTCTATGTATCAACCATATATGTAGCAACATAAGGATGGCCGGGTCCACTCCCCCCTAAATCCGCCCCTTGCATGGAGTTTTTTGTCACAAAATGACTTGACCATACAACATAGGCACATGATAAGAAATCGATCATTAAATTTTCATCATACCCGGCCTCATTTATTTGTCTTTGTAAACGTAAATTTCCATTTTTATCCGTCAATAAATTAATAACATAATTATTTTATTTGATATTTTTCACATTTCCGTAGTACATATATTTCTTTTTGACCATATCCAGGCCATTTTTCATAAAAATATCAAACCTCTTGATTTTCATCATACGTACCCGGCCTCATTTATTAGTCTTTGTAAACGTTAATTTCCATTTATATCCGTCAAAAATAATCATTATATATTTGTTGTCAAGGGGTTCCTCCTGTTTTTGCTCTACGTTTTGGAACAAGAGTACCACATAACACCCCATCATACTAAATGAAAACAATAACATATTACAGTTTATTCCTTGGGGGTCAATCTAATTAAAATATAGAACTCGGATTTCGTAGTATAACGAAATCCGAGTTCTATATTTTAATTAGATTGAGCTGCGATAAAAATAAAACATTACTATTCTAATTTAAAATTAATAAAAGTAAAATAAAAAAGAGAAAGAAAATAGAATAAAAAATTAATTCAAACCACTTTCATCAATTTCCTAAAAAAATAAATATTAAAAAAAATTCTATCAACATATAACATAAACTATTACAACAAATATACTTTCATTATTCATGTACCAAACGTTTTTCCTGAAATATCCATTTTCTTTAAATTATCTTTTATCATGATAAAAAGAACAGGCTTTATGAACAATTATATGTTATAAAAATCTTTTCCTCCTGACATAGAATTAGTGAATAGAGTAGGACAGTGTTACAATGTACTTGAATGTCATTACAAGTCATTAAAGCATTGAACTTGAACTCTGTACTCATGTTTTCAAAATTTTCAATAAATTGACGTGCCTTTTGAAACAAATCATATCTAATGTCTTCATACAAAGGGCAAACCACTAAAAAATGAGTTTCGTGTTTACAAAATTTACATAGTCTATTATTCAGCGGAATCTGCGGTCTGGAGTATCTTCCTGTCTCTACAGCTAGGGGTACTGAGCGATCCACTGCGAAATAATGCCATAGTTCGAGTTACGTTTCTTGGTAAAAGCGAAAGAATATACTGTTCTGTTTTAACACTTGTCTTGTAAATACGGTAAGTCCTTAGCTTGTTCCCGTTAGCATTGTTTCTGTCGTCATGTAAATCTTTCTCGAAATCAGCCTGGTCAATGTTCGAAAGTTTTTCACTTATGAGGCGCATCGCCGTTTTAACACTGAGAGTGGCGTTATGAACAATATCAGCAACATCTATATCGTTTGCAACTTTGTCTATTTGATGATGCCACCCTTTTCATCGCCGCGTTATAACTATCTCATTCTGTTTTAATGATGTTATTTCAAAGAAGTAATTTTTTTTTATTTCACATGTAAAACCAAAATTTTTTTCACCTTGGAAAAGTTGTTGACAGCTGTAAGTCTTGCATAGATGCAGGGTAGATTCCTAATTCTGCAAGCTCTGCAAGGTTTATTGCAACCCAATTTATACCAAAATGAAAAAGATATCATTAAAAAAGTTTAACCGTAACTTGTAACTTAAATAACAATAACTGACTGAACTAACAGATTTCAAGGTCAAATAAAATTGCTGCAGGTCACCAGTCGAATTTCAGTTCTTACCCCTTTGATTACCGTTAGATAATTAGATTTAGTGAAAATTACAGTAATATTCCAGGACCTCCATAATTTGAATTCAGCCGGAATATCCATAAAGCATGAACACCTTCTGAAATATTTAAGGACCTCCATAATTCGATTGAAGGATATCCCAAAAATATTTCAGGACTGCATATATAATTCGACTACAGGATATTCTGAAATAGTTTAGGACCTCCACAAATATAAATCGATCAACATTGCGTTATTTCAGGACCTTAAATATTTCAGGATATCCCTAGTACTTATTGAGTTCTAAAATTATATATTTCAGGACCTCCTAACATACCCTGAAATAAAGCAATTCTGACCGATTATTTGTTGAGATCCTGGAATATTCCAGGATATCCTGCAAACGAATTATTGAGGTCCTAAAATACTTCAGGATATCCATAAATCAAATTGTGTAGGTCCTGAAGGAGGTCCTCAACGATTTATAGATATACTGAATTCGAAATATGGCGGTCTTGAAATGTTCCAGGAGCTCATTAGACACAATACTTTTGACTAAATTCGCGCCTCATATTGTTCAGCAGACAAATTTTAAACTTTCGTGATCACAGGTTTTTTTCTCAAGTGAACCGAGAAAACTGATGCCCCTTTAAGTAGATGCTTCCAAAGAACTTTGTAAGCGACTTTTTCTACATATCGCTATATAAGAAAATGCCTGTACCAAGTCAGGAATATGACAGTTGTTTTCCATTCGTTTGATGTGTTTGAGCTTTTGATTCTGCCTATTGATAAAGGATTTTCCGTTTGAATTTTCCTTGGGGTTCGGTATTTTTGTTATTTGACTTTTTTCTAGTAAGTCCTTGAATATAAAAAAGTGACACTGTAATTATTCATATGAACATGCAGTCGAATATTCCGATGCATGTTGCTGCAAACAAATTAACTTTGTACTAAAGGAAAATTGGCATAATTCAAGCACGACAAAAACCTTGAATTTAATTGAATATGCCGATTATTAGATAATAACTAAGCTAGCCTATCAAGTATAAAGCAAAAAAGATAAATTTCCCAATATTAAGGTTAGATTATATATGTCAACACTGTGAACGTAACATAAAGATTAGACACATGATGGCGTATTTGTTAAATGTTTCGATTACTGAAGTATTAATTGGAGTAACTGTCGGGCTAATATGCTGGCTTTGGATGAGATCACGGAGACCTGCCGATTTCCCTCCTGGACCAATACCACTACCACTCATTGGAAACGTACATCAGCTTTCAGGAGGAAATATTGTGAAAGGTTTTCGCAGACTTAGAAAGGAATATGGCGATATTTTCAGCCTTTCAATTGGGTCATCTTGGGTGATAGTTGTTAATGGGGCCGATGATTTACGTGAATTGTTGCTTAAAAGAGGCGACTGTATATCCGACAGGCCACAAATTTTCATTTTAAAACTCAGGGAAAACCATGGTAAGAATACTTTAACCAAATATAATTACATTACATGTATTTTTTTTATAGGAATCACTAGTTTGATTTGCTGACAGCAATCGCGAGGCATTCCGTTAAGCAAACAACTCTCAACCAATCATATCCCAAACATGACGTCTGAAGCCTTTTCCCGGAAAAATGTAATTTCAGAAAAATGTGTCCGGTGTGCACTTAAATCCCTTATATTCGTTTAAAAAATAAAAAATGAAAACAGGATTTTTGAAAGGTGACCACAATTCAAGAAAACGGAATCCACCACTGTTTCGTATGTTCTATGTACATTAATCAGGCCGATAATTTACTCGTTTGAATTGTTTTAAGTTTTGTTATGTCGGGTCCTTTTATACCTATAGTCTGGTATATAGATGTCTCATTGTCACTTCTCCTTATTTTAGATAGATAGATATATCTAATTTTCAATATTTTATCAAATTCCTCTTCCACAGTATAAATGTTAACGAAATATCTTTGTTCATTTTGTGAATATATATGAATTTTGTATAATGTTAAGAAAGTTAACACTTTTACGTCTATTAAAACACTTGCGAGTGCAAGCCAACCAATGTTTTGTTTACAGAAATGTACCGTGATGATTTTGATGTACATGTTTTGACTTATTTCAGGCATTATAGCATCAAACGGCTCAACATGGAAACAACAACGCACATTTACACATTTAAAACTTAGAGATTTTGGATTTGGAAGACGCAGTTTTGAATCAAGAATTTCAGAAGAGGTTGATATATTCTTGAAATACCTTGAAGATTTCAAAGGAAAGCCGTTTGATATCTCCGAAAAATTATATATCAGTATATCAAACAACGTTATGTCAATAATTATTGGACGTAGATTTGATTACGATAACCCAAAATTTAAATACTTTATTGGTTTACTAACTAAAAATTTCAAGAATGCAGCTCTCGCAGGTCCACTGTATTTTTTTCCAATACTTGCCAAGCTTCCTGGTGATTTGTTTGGCGCTAAAAAGATCATTGATATTTCGATTAAGCTTAGACAATTTTATAAGGATGAAATAGAAGAACACAAGGCTTCATTTGACGACAACAACATAAGGGACTTTACAGACGCCTATTTGAAGGAGATGGCTCTTCATAAAAATGAAAAGGACACAACGTTTACAGGTATAAAATTAAAGTTACCACGCCTTTTTTCCACTAATTTAACACAGAACAATAGCAATCGTATTTTTTAATTCAAATTATATGAAATTAAAAAATATTCAGAATACAATGTTAGGCCAACTTTGAAGCTGGGAAGAAATCCAGTAATAAGTCACGGTAAAGAGGAAAGAAAATGAGTTGTGGTTATGACGATTCAATAAGCTCATATACCGAATGGAACTTCATTGGATAAATGGGATATATCCCGAATATCAGTGAACTCCGCCTTTCAATTATAAAAATATAGATTAAATGACTCACTCATATCCCCTGTCCCCAGTTACTGGTATACTGAACAGTCCAATGATATACTTGTTTTAATTCGAGAGAATATCACTCAATGGGACCCTAACTATGATCAGATGGCGGGACGTCTGGTTTCCTGTCTAGGAATTATGACAAGATTATGTTTCTCTTTCGGAAAGCACATTAAGCGATTTTTGTGTGAATAAAAGAACATGTGGGTTTGTTTTCCGAAGAAAAATAAATCGTATCTCTTAATGTTTACTATATATATATATATATTGAAATCAACAAGAAAGAACAACGCATATGAGCATAAAAGGGAAAAATTAAATAGAGTCCCAGCATTTCACGGCAAGTACTGGAAAATAAATTATAACAAGTAGCGCAAAATAGTTCTAGACTTTTACAAAAACCTTAATTCGATCTCCGAAGAATAAAGAAAATCCCCGCGTTTGATTCTGGTTGAAGTATTAACACAATGTTTTCCTTACGTAAATGCAGAAATCGATTGCATTACTGATAATTAGAACAATTAACATATAGAGAAGAACGTGGTTTTTGCCTGTTCCTCGAATGTAATTCACATACAGGAGAACCCTTAATTATCCGTTACTTAATAAATTTATCCTTACCTGTATAGAATTCGGATAAAAAGCTAATAAACCAATTATTTTCACTAGTTATACGTTTTTTTAAAACCTTATAGTGAATTCCCAAAATACAGAAACACAAAATGCAAATGTATAGTTAAAAATTATGAAAAAACATGACATGCCCTTTCCGTTTCAGAAAAACAACTGATGTGGCTGATTTCGGACTTTTTTACAGCGGGTACTGAGACAACTTCAACTACAATCAGATGGGCTGTGGTGTTTTTATTAAATAACCCTAAAGTTCAAACTAAAATGAGAAAAGAGATTGAAGATGTGATCGGAAGCGGAAGACCACCGCAGTTATCTGACCAGAAAAAACTTAATTATTGTGTTGCGGTTATTCATGAAGTTCTTAGGCTAGGAAATATTTCTCCAACTTCCCTGCCTCATAGTGTTTCCGAAGATGTCTTCTACAAAGGATATAAAATCCCCAAAGAAGCTATCGTTATGCCGATGCTAGATTCTATCTTGTTCGATGAAAGCAACTTTCCAAACAGCCATGACTTCATACCAGAACGATTTATCGATAAAGATGGCAACTTAGTGGATGTGGATAAAGTTATGGCATTCTCTATAGGTAATTATAGTATTTATATTTTCACATAAGTTGTTTTTACTCGCCACTTGATGACTTATGTCAATCTGGGAACAGTATATCTAACAATATATATGTTCCTGTGTCAATGTATTGTTCTCATGATTTGTCTCTTATTTTAACAATGTAAAACAAGAGATAAATAATGAAAACAATACATTGTAATTATATTTTCACATAAGTTTTTTTTTACTTGCCACTTGATGACTTACCATGTTACGTCAGTGTATTGTTCTCACATTTAATGTGTCAATTTCAGACAAGATCGAGCTAATATGAAATAAGGAGATGTTTTATAATTGTCAATGGGACAACTATCCAACGGAGTCAAAATGACGTGAATTGAAGCAATTATAGATAACCGTATTGCCTTCAACAATGAGCAAAGCCAATACTGTATAGTTTTAAAGGCCATAACATGACGGAAAATATGAAAAAAGCATATGAATAAAATAAACCAACGGCCTTATTTGTGACAAAATAATAAACGAAAAACAGATATAACAAACAACAACCAACGACAATTACAGAATTTTAAACTTATTTCATTCTGCAACAATGAATTATCCATGACTTTAGTTGTACATGATTTAGATGTAATGTTCAGAAACTGTTACTCATGAGGTTCATTTTATTTTGCATTCAGGCAAGAGAAATTGTCTTGGAGAGTCCTTGGCTAGAATGGAACTTTTCCTCTATTTAACTTCTCTTGTCCAGAGATTTGAACTGCTACCTCCAGAGGGAAAGGACCCGCCTTCATTAGAGGGTATATATGGAACTACACATAGTCCTCTACCATTTACATTCCGGGTCCTATCAAGACACCGGTGACAATTAAGATATTAAGTACTAGTAGACTGTTGTCAGAATATTTTTTGTATTTCTTTAATTAAAAGTTTTACTCAAATAGCCCATTTAACTTGTGACCGTGGTAATTTTTGCAAATAGTGTAATTTGAATTTAATCAAGTACATTTTCCTCATCCTTTGATTAGGATGTCACTTTAAAAATGTTCAATTCAGGTGAGACAAGCACATGAACATGAGGCGGGTTAAAATAGTAAAAAAAAATACTCCCTCCCCTTACAGTTTTGATCAGCGGACTTAAAAAAAAAAATACAAAAAAGAATATAATATACCGATCAGAATATGACAAGCACTTAATAAACCTTGCATAAAAAAAGAGGCGGACATGCAAAACTCATTAGTCGAAGTTAAACGGACAACGCCATGGCAAATATAGAAAGACCACGGAAAGCCAAAAAATAGGTCCACAAAGCAACATAGAAGTCTAAAGAAACGCGATTCCTACAAAACTTGGGGAGGGGATATCGTGTGCTCCGGAAAGGTTAGAAAATTCTAAATTCTTTTCCACAATAGCACCCGTCATGTTGCCTCATGGTAAGTACAAATTCGTCTAAAAAGTCTCATTCGAGAAAAAGAGGACGGGATTGACTGTGGTAACGACAATTGGAACATATCCGATATATTCCTGGGCATCTGTGACAATGATAAATTCCATAACGGTCGACCAACGCGTGATGGTGTCCGCAACACGTTCGAAGGGATGACGTCACTTGGAATCCTTGGTTCAATAGTTTTTTTGTAAGTAGCAAGCATCTTCCAAGGAAAAGCATTAATTCTCATGCAGGAATATCGTATCAACTTGGAAATATATACTGTAAATGCAGGCGCTGCTTAAATGTTGCTACACATAAATAAAAAGTTGACAATTGGGAAGCTAAAATCGTCTCTTTTGTTCTCAACTGACCCTTATTGTTAATTTCGAGATATAAGTAAAGATATAAGGCAGACTTAACTGTATCTGCAGTATCATTTTTTCAAGTTCGATGGATATTTGCGTTCAATTAACATATTAACCAAACTTTGAATTATATAGTGAGAAGACATCTTCTATAAAGCTAAACCAGAGACATATATACACATATGTGTATATATGTCTCTGACTGAACGTATAAGGATATTAATAAAAATTAAATAACAGTGTAATAGATAACAAAAACACAAGCGAAAAAAAAAAACAACAATAAAGAAAACTTAGTTGTGCAATGTCCCCTTAACAATGATAACAACAGCCATACTATATACGAGAGTAGGCTCCTAGGTCAGAGAGAAAAACATCCGGAACTTGTGTGCTATGTACACGAACTTACCAGTTTAAACATTAAAATTAATAATATAAACGGAATTTTTATGTAATTCCTTCAAATGTTAGAGATAAGATGCCACTTTTGAAGGATTCTAGGGTTTGAAACATACCAATTGATTCAGGTAGGTAATTCCAGTCAGAGATGGTCTTAGGGAAAAAAGAATCATTTTATGATAAAACAAAGTTTTTATTAGTTGAATTTTGTCTAATGATAGATAGTAAAAATAATGAGTTCCTCGAAGGATAACAGAACCGACAGCCTATTCAAAAGATACAGCAACATTTGAAAGCACCTGTTGTTGCATGCCAGCTGTAAAGTCTGTTATCCAATTTAAAAGAGAGGTAAAGGATACCAAACGGACGTGTAAACACAAAGTTGAAAATTAACTGACAACGCCATGGCTAAAAAAGAAAAAGACAAACAAACAACAGTACACAATACACAACATAGAAAACCAAAGACTGAGCAACACGAACCCCACCAAAAACTGGAGGTGATCTCAGGTGCTCTGGAAGGGCAAGCAGATCCTGCTCCACGTTTGGATTTCCAAATCTATATAATACAATGTACAAGTTAATATTTCATATGGGACTTTATCAAAGGCTTTTGAAAAATCTGAAGGTATCATAGCACCCATTTGCCAATGATTTGAAAGACTGACTGTCATTTTATATATAATTTTTTGTAAGATGTTTTCGCAAATTTCTTGTTGATTTTTAAAATTGTTTACAATATATTGCAGTAAATGCGACTGGTCTATAGCTATAAATAATAGCGTTGTGCTAGTCATCTTTCATAAAGATAAGTACAGCATTAGCCTGATATCAATCTGTTGAAATTTTACCAGAATCAATCACTGAATTAATGGAGAGTTGTGTCACCCATGGAGACAACTCTTTAGAAAGATTGTTTAAGAAATAATGATTAATATTTTGCACGTTGAAATCTTCCTATCACTCTCTGTTACTTAATTTCATACATCTCTTTGATGTCCTTTTTTTGCCTTGTCAAAGGCTTTATTAGTGTCATGTGGTAAAAAGTCTTCATTAAATTATCTACCATATGGTTAACATGCCTATAGTCAGATACTGAAAACTATTAAATCGGCGGACAATTAATGTCAGATGGTGGTAAACCAAAATGTGTTAAAATGTGCCAAAATTTCAGTGTACTACTAATTGCTATTGTAACCTTTAAACTTTGACTTCAAAATCGAAAGGAATCTTGTTCAACCCAATATATGCATTATCCACGACAGATTGGCAAAGGTACAACTTATGGCTCAAAAGATATTTTCCGGAAGCAAAACATTTTGCAAAATTTCAGTTTGTTCAAATATAATGTAACCTTGACCTTCGACTGCAAAATCAATAAGGTCTTCTTGGAATTCGCCAGAAAAGCTTACTTTGAAGGTTAGGCATATGATTCAAAACAGATAACATGCAAAACCCTAATATTTGCCAAAGTTTCAGTCGAACAATCGTGCTGAATCCTAGACTTTTGACAAAGTGACCTCAAATCAAAAGGAGAGGTTGCAATCAGCCATTATGACCTTAATGTTTGATCTATTGACCCCAAAATTAAAAGGAGTTTTCTTCCATTCATTGAGCATTATTCAAGGAAAGTATGTTGCAAGATAGAGACCTGGTTCAAAACATAACATCCAGAAATCAAATTGTTGTCAAATTGTCAGTCTATTACAGTTGATAGGAACATTATCGAGCCAAGTTTGGTGAAGATATTCATAAGGGCTCTTATGATTTCCTCTTGAAACTGAAATGTTTATGTCCCAACTGGCCTTACAGGAATAGAGTTTTTACAAAACAAGTCTTATCTTTTTAGGAGAGATTCATGTGGACTCTTGAACAAGGTTATTGTCAGTGCTTTACAAAAATTTTAATGCGAGATAACTTTAGGCTACTTTCTTAATGTGCAAGTACCAAATGCATATTCAGCATAATCTGAACAGAGAAAAAAATACAATACAATCATTTTATTTACATTTTTTGACAATTCCCAAATGTTTCTACACTGAAGGAACAAGATTTGTGTCCGGACTTGAAATATAATTGTGAACTTTGCTGTGGTCAGTTTTTTTGCTAAACAAGCTTGTGCCAATACATCTCATTAAAAAGGATTTTTATAGTTTTGTTTTTAAATTCCCCAGGTTCAGGTTGCTTTAACAATCACAAACATGTTAAAACCACTTCATAAGTTTAATTTGCTTGCTCATAGAAAAGCTAGGAGTCTGTAATGTAGTGGTTGTTGTTGATAGATCCATTGGTTTTCACTTTTAAATAGTTTTACATTTTGTCAAACCAGGGTCTTTTATAGCTTACTTTGATATAGTATGGATTTCACTCATTGTTGCTGGGTTGCTCTTTCATTAGTTTCTAACCCAAGTACTTTTCTTTGTACAAACTCAGTTATGATGTAGGACTTTTTAAAAACTGATTGGTAGCTGAGTGTACTATGAACTTTGACTACGGTTTAAATGGTATGATCTTTTGGGTTCAAAAATACATTAAAGGTATAACAAGAATCACCAAAAATACTGGACATAAAATACCACATTGACCACCAACAACTGACTCCTTAAAAAAATACCAGAATACATTTCATACAGCAAGAAAAAGGATTGTTGTATAATAGGCATTAATGATAATTTAAACAAGCATTCTGAGAGTATTGCATGGCAATACATAGTCCCCTACTGGTTAAAAATTCATTTTACTGGAACAAAATGCTAACTTGTTCTATAACTTGTCATGGTGTAAACAAATAGAAAATATCAAGTCAATATCTTCAAGCATGACTAAAAACAGTGTGGAAAACTGAATATATGAGAGAATTTTTTCAAGTCCAAGGACCATAACTCTGCACAAAATTATCAGACTGAAACAAAAATTTGAACTTGATCTAACACTCTAAAATTAGATATGATGTAATACAATGTATATCTATTTTCGAATTACAATCAAATATAATTAATAGTTCCAAATATTTTTTTCTTTCATTTGTCACAAACTAATATAGATTTGTAACTTATCTATAAAATGTCAACAACTTTTATCTACACAATGTAATGTATTGAAATATATACTTTAATAAAAATAGATTATTATCTAATTAAAGGATTTCACTTAATAAAAAAAAATATATATATATACATGTAGCATTCAGAAAATTAGTTTATACAAAATAACATATTAACCTGCAACAAAATTACTCAAACAATTTACCAAAGAATGTCTTTTAAAAAATGAGTTATCTCCCATTGTACAGATTATATGGTTTAACATAGTACTCTAACGTTAGTTATGGATTTTTTTTATAGACCATAACTCTGGACTAAATCATCAGACTGGAACAAAATTCGAACTTGATCTATAACTTGTCATTATAAAACTATATACCAAATATCAAATCAATATCTTCAAGAACGAAGAAAAAAAGTGTGGAAAGCTTCGCCCTCGTCAGTAGGGGACTAATAAAAACAGTGATCTGTATCATTGACTTTTTCTTAGAAATTTCCTATACTGGAGGCTTCAAAATCACTAAAACAATGTGTTTGTTACAATTCTTGACTATTTGTTTTTATGCTTTAACACTACTATCTCAGGTATGGGTTGATCAATGGCAAACATGTATAAAACCTTAACTTTTTGTATGTGCCCCCGTCTATTTTTTTGTTTTCATTTATTGTTTTGTACATGAATCAGGCCATTTTTTTTTAT